CAGATTCCAACATAATACGCTTAGATTTTCAACCCATAAAATGCATTCTTGCACACTCAAAAGGAGTAAAATTGTTTTATTTAAGACTCCGTTTTTCACCATTATTTGATTGCACACACACATACACACACACATTTGACCAATAAAATGGTTTTGAAGTTTTAGTTCTTTTATCCTCGTTGTCAACATATGAAGTTTACATCTTTCCTTGGAGTGCATATGCTTTCGGATTTTCAGAACAAGCAAAGAATGTCACCAGCGTACCAAACAATACCATCAATTGTACAGGATTCCATACAATTGGACATAATATTTTGGGGACATGACGCTGTAACAGAGCTCAATAAAAAAAGCCGTTCTTCTGCACATGATAGATTCAAACATAACACCTGTAGTCGAATCTCGCAAAGAGTCACCTAAATATTGTGATTAGCTATGCTTATTCATAATTCAATACCAATGCAACCATAAATCGGGACCAATCTTTCACAATGGCCGCTTTCAAGAGATTCCTTTGTGGTCTTAATTTGCAGGCTTGGCTCTGTATCGGTTCTGCCTATTTAACTCCTCTGGGATAACTCCTTTGATTTCAGATGTTTGTAACTTTTTTCAATGACCTCTCAGTATTATATATCATCGCCAAGTTTAGTTATTAGGTAATTTCACTCGTGCCCTTGAATTGTTGTTGTTTCATTGTAAATCGTAAGACATTAATAACGTTTGTTTGAATTTATTGAAGTTTGAAATTTTGCCAGCGGCTTGTCAAGTAGCATGTTTATGTGTTTGATTCTTGAATAAAATACTATTATAGAAAAAATTTGATTAATGAGTTCTTGTCTTGTTTATCATTTTTTAAAAGATCAATTTATCTAGCTATCCCCCCTCATTATTTCAAGAAACAGATGAAAATCTTAATTTAACCTGTCTCGCTAAATTACCACAGAGATATATTTTATAGGGAACACGTGTAATCTCAATCTTGAACGTAACCCTCCGTATCTTTTTAATCTTTACGAGCAAATAAGGTCCAAACAAAATGTGCAAAACAGAGAATGTAATTTATCTCATAACATGTAAGGTCTGTATCCCTCAGTATGTCGGAGAAACTAAAACGCTACACAAAAGGACCCATCTTCGTAGATCTGATTGGATGTCACAGAAACTGTACAGAAACCCGGTCGCAGAACACATATCTTCCCTGGACACACTTTCAGTGATATAATACATATTGCAATTGCTCATAACTCCAAACAGAGTTCCGAAACCAGGAAGAAAAGGAATTTTACTGGATACGCCGCCTTAAAACATTGAAACCAAGCGGTTTAAACCAAGAAGACTAGAAAAAGACAACCATGCACAAATAAAATTATCTTTTGCAGCCGACACATATTATCATTAACATTTCTCTAAATTTGCTTAATAGTCCACAATTACATATTTAACAATGAAATATCCGTGATATAATTTGCGCTTACTTAACTTTACATACAATAATAAATTCCATTATGGCTTATCTATTTTTAGGTCGATAAAAATATGTTCGAGCATCCGGAAGAGGATGAAGTAAGGCAGTTGAAACATAATAAATGTAAACGTTTAATTCCCATAGCAAAATCCCTGTAAATGTTTGGGGGTTTTTTTGGGGGGGGGGGGTTGCATTTGCCTAAGAAAAAGACTCATTAAGAGTCGAAAGCTCTCAGGCTAGATAAGAGGTTTTGCACTGATCGTTGTCAGTGTATTGCATTTATCTGAATTAGTCCCTGACACACGTGATCTCTTTTCAGGATCCAGTGCACTTGAAAGGACTGCCTTTCTCATGATTTGTACTCTTTATATATATATATATATATATATATATATATATATATATATATATATATAGAATTGAAATAATGTGATATATATATATATATATATATATATATATATATATATATATATATATATATATATATATATACCCTTCTGATCTTAAAATAATTCTCCAAACTATCTAATATATTTAACGAATTAACTCACATGATGTTACAGATATATTCCGATATGTATCGAGCATCTTCAAGCATCTTCAAGTTCTCTTTGCAGCCTTTTGCCGTTCTCGAAATTGAGACAACAATCTTGCAGAAAATGGTTTTAAAATGCTGAAATCACTTCAGAATTGTAGGATATGACAGAAAATTACACTTTATTCAAGTCGGCCTTGATATCTGTAAGAGAGAACCATAAGAAGGCCGTATTATTACTGTTTGCTTATTTGGCTCAGTGGTACATTTATCCTCCTTACTATCCTTTACTTATGCTACGTAACACGCATGCTTCTGGATATATCCAGCTACACGTGCAACTGCAAATCATTTTAAAGAACGTTTCTTTGTCTTTCTTTTGGTGTTAGATTCATAACATATTTCAAAGAAACATAAACGTTGTTGAAGATATTGAAACCTTTTCAAATACCTGATGTATACATAATTATAAGAATACTATCAAAACATGATGACGGACATTGTCAGTGTCACATTCCTCCTACGGTATTATTTCTGATACAAGAGAAATTTATTACCCGTCACACCTGTTGAAGTATATGACGCATTCAAATGATCGCCAGAGACTTCTGTCCTGTGCCATTCACTCGAGCTGATTCCAGGAGTAACCATGTGATGTCCGCCTCAAGGTCGCATCACCAGCTGTTTCTTGATCGACCCCTTCTCCACCTCATTTCCTGTCTGGTAAATGTTAGCTGGTTGGTAACAGAGAAAGGCTGACATTTAAAATTTAAATTGCGCCGAGACACAATCAGCAACGCCGACGGTCTAGGTCCATAAATAACTCAAGGTACAAACTATAACAATTTAATAAAATATAGCAAATGCATTGAATAATTTCTCAGTTACAATTTCTTTCGAACTAAAGCTATCAATGATCTATTTACAGTTGACAATCATTATTCCATCACATGAAACTAAAATTCTTAGGTGATGGTGTTTACTCTCAGCATTGTCTCTGCTATTCATCTGTGAATCATTATCTGTCTCTTGTTTCTATTTGATACTTCTGGTACCTTTGACAACTTGCTTTCCCTGGCACTTCTGGATCCGTTCTTCCGTAACTACGGTGCTCTCTATTACTTTCTCTTTCCGGCATTGAGTCTCCACACAAATGGATGACGTCGCTATTAACGCCAACCACGTGCTCTCTACGTCTTTTCCCTAGTCTCTGATCCTTGGGTGTCGAACTCTTCACCACCCCGGAAAGCTTCCTTAAGAAGCTTTTGTTCATAAATCCGTGTGGTCTATGCATAATGCTCATTTCAACATGTTTTATTTCCTTTCATTCTTTTTTGTTCTTTGTTTCCAAAATAAGATTATCATAAATATTTCTTATCTGAAATTATTTCAGATTCCACTGTATACTATTATTTTCAACAAATACAAACTGTTTATCCCGTAACCACACCACACCACAACCCTCACAGAGCTTTCTTTTTTAAATATAAGTCTCCCCATTGGATGGATTTTCTAAGAATGCACTGTAAGATAAAGGAAAAGAAATCTTGGATGTCCCATAAAGCGAGGACTTAAAGAATATATTTAGAAAAACAAACAAACAAAAACTATTGCCATTGCACTTTCAAGATTAAACTCTTCTCCGAATGAATATCAATGCTTCAACTATTTTTTAATTTTACACTGAGTTGGCACCATATAACCATGATGGCGATGCATTGTCTATGAAGTTGTGATATTGCTAGTGTGCTATTTTCGTTTGTTGAACCAATGAAAACATATGCTCTGACAGATTACTTCTTAGGAATTTGTATCGCCCAGAGAGAGCCGTGATACAAATAGGGGATTATAAGCAGTGTCATTTTTTCTCTGCCTGTGGAAGTGAAAGCACATGTGAGCATGGCCCTAGTTGGTCAAATATTGCTTTATTGTTTTGAATGTCACGCTTAGCCAGCCATCATCCAGTTTAAAATGCCAGTTTTTATACACTGCGTCATCGCATGATTTAAAGTGCTGATTGGAGATTAGTTGCACTGAAACATGTGATTTTGAACTGGATGACACGTCTTACGATCATGGCAGGCTGATAATAAGGTTCCTTCGGTATTACCACTAGCCATGTACACACGTTATATAGATTTGCAAAAGCTATCGATCTTCACTTCTTGTTACGTTTCTTAAATTTAAATAACAAGAACAAATATTTATGGAAAAGTCATTTTAAACTCTATTACGTTTTGAACTAACCGTTTGAAAACAACCAGCCAACATGTATCCGTCATTTTCTTGACTAACGATGTCCATTGATTTATCATAGATTGCACATAAGGGAAACTCAATTGAATGCAAAATCAAGCGGATACATACCTAGTGGTAAGTTGACTATAAATTACTGAATAACTGCAAATGTTTTAAATAGATAATACTATGTTCTCTCAGTGCTTATCATATGCAAACACATTTTGCTACAAGTATGTAGTGACGTTCATGCAATTACAAATGTTTCTACTCTGCATATATATATATATATATATATATATATATATATATATATATATATATATATATATATATATATATATATATATATATATATATATATTGTCATACAATATAAAACGTAAAGCGTGGAATATATATGCGCTATTATAATATACCCATTTCCAGTTTGTGTATGCCTTGTATATTTTAACAAAGAAAATGAATTTAAGTTACTTTTTTAAAATATGACATATTATGTCTTCCCTTTTTCAATATTTAAATGTGTATGTGTGTGATTTAGAATTTTAACGTAGTTTTGAAAATTTTTCAGTCATATCGCAATGATATCTGCAGTGTGACAGTTTATAGCGGTAGGTCATCATGCCGCAGATATGTTACATGATGTCTCACCCAGTCACATTATCCTAACATTAGGCCATCCAGTCCTAATAATAACTTCTTAATGCTGAGCGCCAAGTGAAACAGCTGTTAGCACCATTTTTTAAGTCTTTGTTGTGACTCGGCCGGAGTTCGAACCCGTGACTTTCTGCATCCGAGGCGCGGACACTCTATCCGCTAGGCTACCGGAGCAGTTGCATATTTAAATGTGCATTGAACTTGATTTGCTGAGAAGATAAGCAAAGTTATCACATTATCATGAGTTGTCTCTTTGAATCAAAATATAAATTTTTCTATCGAGTTTCCAGTGTGATCAAGTTTGTAGCTTCTTACAATATTACATCTAGATCGTGTCCAATTTGTATTTACGGCTTCGTTTATAGGATTAATAGAGTTGAGTGAGTATTTGTTTGATTGTAATAAATCGGTGTTCGGAAGATACTATTCAGACTGAGTTATTAATACTGAACCTTATTCAGGGAACTTTATACTAGTCTGGATTAAATTCCTACAATTTTTTAATATAATGATTTCTTTGGAAAGTCTTTTCTGTTGGTCCGATACGTGAGGCGCAATATGCATACATGGCTGTGTAATTAGAGTATTGTCCATGTGTGGTCCATGGTTTAATGTGTTTGTGTTTGTGTGTGTGTGTGTGTGTGTGTGTGTGTGTGTGTGTGTGATTTGGACTTTTAACATAGCTTTAATAAATTTTCAGTCATATCGCTATTATGCCTGCAGTGTGACAGTTTACAGTGATGTCTTGCACCAGGGCTTTATGTCACAGATATGTAGCATCATATCGCACCCAGTCACATTATCCTGACACTAGACCTACAAGTCGTAACACTAACCTCTCAATGCTGAACGCCAAGCGAGGCAGCAACTATTACCATTGTGATAAGTCTTTGGTATGATTCGGCCTAGAATCGTACCCGAGACCTCCCACTAGGCCACCGAAGCGGTTTGATTAGATTTTAGTTTATTTTCCGCTCGGTCTTGATGCAAGCGTGTTAACTAGCTTCCTATAGACCGACTGCTTTATACACTATTATCAGTGATGTACTAAAGTGGTTTTGGTGCCCCATGTCCTCTCCCACCCGTGGTTTTGGTGCCCCAAGACCTCTGGTGCCCGGGGCAACCTCCCAGTCCATCTCCACCCCTCTTAATATGCTACTGAACATTTTGTAACGATTTCATTAAAAAAAGAATTCGCATTTTCTGCTTGATTTAAAAATAGTATATCCAAGACTAGTAAGTACGGCTATCATGTGGTGCGTTCTATATTATTATGATATTAGTTGTCTATATTTGAAGTAGTGAATTTATGCCCTTTTGGGAATAACTTTGTATTCAGTTTGAACATCATGACTATTCTGTGGCCCGAAAAAGATCCTCATATTTTTTTCGGAGAGAGATTACTATTGCTTTGTAACTGTTGAAATAGGTATCGCTTTTAACACATCGGATCGTTGTTGTATACGTCAGACTTACGTTTCTCTCAGTTATCTAAATTTTTCTGACCATGTTGTGTGTGTACAACTATAAAACTTTATACATGCATATTTCCTATGAGGTAATACAATGAGCCAAGTAGGTCTTAGTGACAGTTTGTCACGGTTGATTGATTATTTTACGTTCTTGCTTTTAACTCCTTTATAATGACAGGAATGCTTGTTTAGATATAACACTTGAAAAGTGCATTTTCTTGAATTTTCTCACTAATAAAAATTAAGCCACAGTAAGCCATTTTTCCTGCTATAATGAGTATGCAAGCTCTGTGGAGCAGTTGAGACTAAGTATGCCCTTCATATGCATACGATACGAAAAGACCGACCTGACGGCCAGCATTTTGCGTAAGACATAAGGTTTTGTCTGATGTCTGACTCACAACTTTTATCCCACCTTGAAATTTTCCAAATGTAAACGGACTTTAACGAATTTGCAACGGATTCTTTTTCTCACATGCCTCAACAAATAATGAAGGTGGAAGTCACAATGGCGTATTAAGAGTATGAATGTAATTTTCAAACGGCAAAAAATTTCATTCGAAATTTCCTTAATGTTAGAAAGAGAAAAATAATGAATTTATGCTTAAACATATTTGGTGTAAGATTTTAATGACATTTGAATGGCAGTGCACATGACTGTATTTAGCAAATACTTTGCGAAATGATATAAATGTAAACGTGTAAAAATTAATATCTTGTCTTATCTATACAAGTAATTAAGGCAGAGAAAATATAATGAAATAGCCGCCTTCGACGTCGAACTGACTTACCTTCAGAAAAAATAATGAGAATCAAAATAAAAATGCAAAGCAAAAAGTGCAGTTACATCAACTGGTTTTTTTCGACTTGAAATTGGACTAAATGTTTACATGTATGAAATATGTAACCTGTTTGTGTGACACTGAACTGCAAGCGATGCTCGTTTTATTACGTACACTTTATGTATTGTTTATCTGATTACTGTAAAACAAAGTTCAAGTTGTAATGCAGATTGGGAAGAGTTTCACACTTTGAATATAATAGAAGGTCAAAATAATCCAACAGTTAGGATAAAAGAACACGTGTTAGGACAAAGACATTCTGCACGGTTATAAAAAAGATCATACAAAAGATGTAGATGACGTATTATTCCAATAAATAGATGTTTTTGCCAATCAACCCATGTCCCCTTCACAACCTGATGTGGGTTCAGTTTTGTTTGAATTGGGCATAATTGGCCATGTAAACTTATAACAGGCTCAATACGACCGTCCTTTCACTCCTTTTATCAGGTACTCGCAATAAATTAGTGGCGGCTATAGAATTCGCCGGTGCACGGTACACACCTGATAGACGATAGCTGATAACGTTCTTATATTATCACTTAACCAAAAGACGAATATCAGAGTAAACCAAATACGAGCCGATACCTCTTGACCGCAGACAGATAATATCGCTGGGAAGGGTATTATTTATGACACAGGCAAGTTCTACCGGAGCAAATGTACGAGAATAGCATGATCAGCTAAATTAAATTGGTCAACATCAGATAGTTTTGTTTTTGTTCTTGTTGGTGGTGGTGTTGTTGTTTTTCGCTCTCACCACACCCACTCGCCGAACACGAATTGAAAAGAACCGTAATTACAAGATGGCGACTATAAAATTAATACTGAAAGATGTGATACATGATTCGAACACGTGCAAAAAATATCTGCCCTTGATGGACAGTCTTCTTGTTCAATGCCCGTCACCTATGTGTTTGGCACTGTATAACGTATGCCAGAGAAATCTACATGTCCCTGCTTGTACAAATTCCTATTATCATTTCATTTTTTAACTGTTTTACGACGTTTTTAACTTAGGGCTCGTGTAAGTTTATACTGGTGTACTTGTCAATGAGATATTTTTTTTTATCATATGCTATTGAGTAGGTATGGTTATATGTATACTGGTGATTGGTCAGTTTCTACACTGTAGATAAGGGCCAATTTCTATCAGCACGTTTCACAAACAGAAGAACATCGTTATTCGAAGTGATACCCAGTAGGACTTTTAACGAAAGACGCAAGTCATATTACTGTACTACGGTTATTATGTCTTCTTATAAGATGAATGCGTGTTTTGACAGTTTTTAAGAATTTACTGCAGGCATCTTGTTATGTATAGTTAATTTAATTGATTGTCTTTTTGATTCTAGTTTTTTATTTCATTACATGTTATTGTAATGTAACATTTTTTTACTTGACGTGACCTTGTCCAGAATTGAATTCAGGTCTGTTTGACCTGATTGACTATTTTCAATTTTATAAATTTTCACTGATGTAAACAACTAATAATAGTTGTATCATCCTCTATAGGCATGATCAAATTAAACGAATTTTCAGGTAAACATATTGGTTTCGGTCAGGATTTGGGGATTACAAAGTTAATTTTATAGGGTCTTATATCTTAAATAAACAGGTCTCAATAACTCATGCAAGAAATTTCTTTTCCATTAGGAAATGGTTGTTTTTAGAAAATGCTAATTTGTGACCTGAGGTCAGAGAACTATATTATAGTCCGAATGTGGAGATTTCACCAGTCGTGCTTTAACATCTAGCATTTTAGGCTGTATTATGATGTTCCAGTTTGGGCTGAATTTTATTTTCTTCAAATTGTTGAATTTAACTGATTTTTTTCTTTGAAAACATAAAAGTGCTCTGATAAAATTCTTGAATAGGACATTCGCTGGAATTGATAATGAATTCAAACCTAGAATACTATTTATGTGATTCAACAAGAGACGGTTGACACATTAGTACGAGTCAGGCCATGACAGAACGTTATAACCATCAATTTGAAATCTCTATGCTACTTAAACTGAATTTTTTTTGGGACTTTCAATTATTTTGACTTGTGTCTTTAATTTCTGGGTTATTTTTAGATTTGATTATCAAAATCTAAGTAAATTTTTCTTCTTTATCACTTTGTATTCTAGGGAAATAACTTAAATGTATTAAATTTTACAAAATTTGTTGCCTTCACCATTTTTTGTTACCTTTTTTTAAGAACATGGACTCGTAGCAAAAAATTGGCCGCTGGTCCATGGATAAGAATTTTTGCTAAACAATTTCAGAAAGCGTTGTTTGTGAAATTTGAACTCCTAAGTTTTATTTCGCATTTTAGAAACTTTTAGTGAAATCAGCAAGCGTTTTAAAAAAGCAACAAAAATTTTTTATTTCTACCCAGGAGTGGTTATAAATTTTGAAAATAGAAGTACAGCTAAAAGCGTTTGAATTAGAGATAAGACATGTTCAGTTAGAAATAGAAATGAGAAAGAGAGAGGTGAGTGAGATAAATGCAGTTTTAGAAAGATATACAAAGAAATATAAATTCAATTTGAGAAAGAGACAAGAGAGAGAAAGACAATTGCTGAAATTTAAAGAAGATAGGCTAATGCAAATGCAAAGAGAAAAGAAAGAAAGGGAATTTCAAATTAGATTGAAAGAATTAGAGCTGTAAAATTGAATGCACTTCCCCACATTTGATGTTTACCCCCATTTCTGGAAAAAGAAGTAGATTAATATCATTTTGAGAAAATTGATGAAATTTTAAAGTGGCCAAGAAAGTACTGAACTCTATTATTAAAATGTGTACTTACTGATAAACCTTCTGATTTTTACATTTCACTCTGTCACTACAGCAAATTGCTGATTATGATGT